CAGTGACCTCCACAGTAATTGTGTGTGATCCTCTGTGTGTTCCTGCCCAGTGCTGCTCACCAAGGAGCACTGAGCCTCAGCATTGGGTTGATCTTTGAGTGGCTTGGAGCATCTTGTGTCTCACTGAGAAGAGGTTGAGGCTGTGCCTGCACCTCTCTGCACAGCCTGGGTGAACTCCCAGGTCAGACACCCTCTTGCAACAGGCGCTTGCACAAAGTGGGAGTGACAGGGGCAGAAAGAACGTTCTCCAGGACAGGGTTTGTTCTTTCAACACATAAATGGCACTCCCACTAAATCCATTGTCCCTAATGACTCGCAGTGACTCGGTGCTGGGGAAATGCTAAGCAGGAGTTCATAAATCATTTTACAGGGCTGGAGTTAGATGAATTGCCTGCAGGAGACTAATTGGGGGTTGAGTAAACAAAAGCCTGTTATTCTCTTTCTCTCTGATGTGGAGCTCCAGATGGAGAATGGAGTGTGCTGATAGCAGATCCCTTTGTGAGCTGGGGAGCAGCTTTCACCCCAGTTTGAACCTGTTCACCTGAAATCTGAAGAGAGGATGGGTAACCCTCTTTGAAGAAAACACTTCACATTTGCTTTCTGTTCATCAGAACAACTCCAATGTGAACAGACCTGTAACGCCTGGTTGCATATTTGCCTTTGATCTTTGTTAGGGCAGATGGTCAAGTCTTTTGTGGTCATGGTGAAGATGGGTGGGCACATGCCTCTTTGCATCATGTTTCCAGGTCATTTGACCAACTTCATCCCCTTGTCAGGCTGTCAGTGCAGCACTCTCATCGTTCTAGGATGTTTCTGCGAGGAAACAGCAGTGTCAGCACAAGACCTTCAGCACTGACAGCAGAAGGTGCCTTCAAGAAAAAGCCACGCTTCCTGCATATTGTTTTGGTTTAGTTTTGGGGTGTTTTATGATGAATCAAAAGTTTTTCAGCATTAAACACATGACATAAAATTGGATTTGAGCTTGAAAGTGCCAAAACTGTCACCTCTGCCTTTCCTGGGGTTGTTGAAGTTTAACAACTGTTGCACAGTGGAGAGGAGAGGAGAGGAGAGGAGAGGAGAGGAGGGGAGGCTGGATCTTTAACAGAGGTTTTCTTTCTCTGAAGTGTTCACCAGCTGTTGGAGGGAAGGAGAGAAGATCCAAACCAAAGTAGAGCTTTATACTCTTGTAGGAACATCCTTCCCCATCCCATTTTGGTCACTGCTCTACTCTGGACAATCAATAGCATGACAGCATTGTGGGTCAGATCGGTTTGCTCAGAGATCCTTGTATGATGTTAGCACTCAAAGGCCTCCTCTTCCTTTTTCCTGTAATAATGAAATTCTTTTTAATAGCCAAAATAAAAAATATGCTTTTTTTAAACAGGGTGCCGGAGCATCTCGTGAAGAGCATAACCTGGCAGACCCTCCAGGCTGTGAACTTCTGCCATAAACACAACGTAAGTCCCCTAAACAGCACTAACAATTGTTGTAACATGGCCTTGGAAGAATTTTCCTGATTACAGAGCTTTCATGGGATGACTTTAGATGAAATTTCCTATTTTCAGTAAAAAACATATATCTGAAATACGAGTGTATACCCACAGCAGTTGCATTTGCTATCACAGAGGTCCCTTGTGTTTGCTGTCAAGGAATGATTTACACTAATTACCTTAGCCAAGCTTCCAGGCTAAACAGGAATATATCCTTGGGTGTTCCCTGTGCCACGCGTTACAACCAACCTTTAGAAAACTGGCTTCACATCTCACCAGCTGAGACTTGAGCAAACTGCTACTGATTGCACAGAAAGTCCTTCTGTTGGTCGTCATAGGCATTGAATCATGACACCAATTAAAAAGTTTCAAAAATTAGATACAGTAAACCAGTTTTACAACCTTTCCTCTTCTTTCTGGAGGGAGATGCGAGTTGCCTGCATGACAAATGCTGTGTAGGAAGCAGTGGGGATGCTTCCAGAAGCAGGGAAGGAAAGGAGCCTTTTGGAGAAGCTCTTTAGGCAAGCTCAGCTGTAATTGTCTTTGTTTATCTGCCAGTGTTTGAGATTTAAGATCTGGGCAGGAGATCACTCTGGAATGGATGTTTTGTCTTTGCAGGGAGAATTATGTCCAGTTGAGCCACAGGAACTTGGCCATAGGGCTGTCCTCCTTCCAGGATTTGTTGTTTTGCTGCTTTTTTTTCTGTTCCCCCACTCAGTCTGAAAGATTTAATGGAGTTTTAAAGCAGAGGGAACAATGAGATGCTGCAGCCTGACCTGCTGTAGATCACAGGTAATGAGGTTTTACGCAGCTGCCCTGTTTGGAACTCCATGACACTGGTTTAACAAGCAGCATTTCAGTCCTCAAGAGGAGACACAATAATTTACCACCAGCTTGGCTAGGAAAAGTCCAAGGTGTTTGCGCTGAGGTGATGATGGTGGAGGAGGGACAACGTGAGCTAGACCCTGGTGATTTCAGTAGAGCACACCTTTCACACATAGGCAGGAGAAATGAAGGTGTGTGCTAGTTCGATCAGCCCAAGTTCAGTTGTTGTGAACCTTCAGCAAGCAAGGTGACTTCTCAAGAGTCACAGAATTGCTGATGTTGGACGGGACCTTTGGAGATCATCTCCTCCAGCCATCCCACTCAGACTGGGTCAGCTAAAGCAGGCTGCTCAGAAACTTTTCCAGTCAGGGTTTGAATATCTCCAAGGATGAAGGTTCCACAGACTCTCTGGGCAGCCTGTTTGGATGTTTGGCTACCCTCATAGTTTTAAAAAAAAAAAGAAAATTGCTTACATTTAAATGGAATTTCCCATGTGTCCGATTTGTGCCCGTTTCCTCTCGTCCTTTCACTGGACACCACTGAGGAGAGCCTGGCTCACTCTTCTTTACCTTTTCCCATGAGGTTTTTATACACATTGATAAGATCCCCACCTGAGCTTGCTTTTTTCCAGTTTGAATGCTGGTCTCAGCTCCCTCATCCTGTCCTTGCATTTCAGCCACCCCAATTCTAGTGGTCCTTCACTGGAATCACTCCAGTATGCCCCCAGCTTCTTTCTAATGAACCCTGGATGTGTCTCAGCTGTGCTGAGCAGAGGGAATACCAGGTTTGTTCTGGCATCTATGACAACAGATGAAGTCCCACAGCTCAGCCATAGACTTCATCTCATCTACGAGCTTTGCCAGCGAAATAATTTGCTTGTCTACTAGATTATCAATAAAAACAGTTCATGGACTTCATCCAAGAACTGATCCCAGAGGACCTACACACCTCTCATTAGGATCTCCCCACGTACTCGTAAAACCCAGTGCCTTTTAGGAGGATGTTACATGGAACTGTGAGAACTGAGTTGCAGAGAGGCAGGTTAACAACAATCCTCGCTCTACAAACCTCTCTCCTCCTGCTAGCAGCTTCCCAGCTGGTTCTGTTGTTGTCCAAGTGATGCAGAGTTATGCAGCTGAAGCTGGGAGCCTGCACAGTGTCTCATCCCAAAGCTGGGGTGTAGGCAGGGTAATTGTCCTGCCCAGCAGGACGTGGCTTTAGCTGCTGTTAAGAAATAATCTCATCTTCTTTTTTAGCAGGAACGATTGCCTGGCACGATGTGCAAGGGGTACATGGCTGAATTGAGAGGTTTTTTATCTGAGGTTAAATGTTAAATACTTGCTTCTAACCTTTTTTATTTTTTTTTTCCTGGTTCCAGTGCATCCACCGAGATGTGAAGCCAGAAAACATCCTGGTAACAAAGCACTCGGTCGTCAAACTTTGTGACTTTGGATTTGCTCGTATACTGAGTGAGTGCTGGCTTGCCACTAACACGTGACAGCTCGAATGAAGTGTAGGATCAGGCTTCCAAACATCAGTAAAGACTCACTTGTCTCTGATGCAGGTGTAAATCATCCTGTATAAAGGCTGGTGTGTTTTCACAGGGAAGCTCTGTGCCCACAGCAGCTTAAAGGCAGCCAGCCCAGACACTGAGTTGCCAAGTGCCTCTGTAAACAAACTCCCTCGGAGCTCGGCGCTGCTGCAGCTGAAGAGCTGGCGGTGCTGGCACTGGTAGGTGGAAGTCGGCCTTGGGCATCTTGGAGCTGCTCAGCCGTTGCTTAAGCGATGCTGGAGACGCAGCTGGAGTTCCCTGGCAGGAGGGGCCCCTCTGGCAGAAAGTGTCTCTGTGAACAATGTCTTCACATTTTCCGTTGTAAATAAACCCCTTCGTCTGTTTGTTTGGGGGTTTTTTTTAGCTCTTGTTCAGACAAATCACGTGGGCTTGGAGAAGTGACCACTGGCTGGTGCAGGCCCCTGCTGTGGAGCTCGGCATATTTTCATTTCGAGAAGAATAGGGTCTTGGTTTTTGCCAAATCTTCAGTGTTTCCAAAGTTGGGTTCTGCTAGTGGCCAGTGACTCATCCAGGAGGTGCCCCAACATGTGTAACAGCTGCTGGCAGCTCATCTGCATCGTTCTGATCCCACATCCCTGTTTGTTTCTTTCCTTCCTGACCCCAACCCAGCTGGTCCGAGTGATTATTACACAGACTACGTGGCTACCAGGTGGTACCGCTCTCCGGAGTTACTTGTGGGGGACACCCAGTACGGCCCTCCCGTGGATGTCTGGGCCATAGGATGTGTCTTTGCAGAGCTGTTGTCTGGTGTCCCCCTGTGGCCTGGCAAGTCTGATGTGGACCAGCTGTACCTCATCCGGAGAACCCTGGGTAAGTGTCCCCTCTGCACCAGTCAGAGCCCTGGGCTTCCCAGTGCCTTTGACAGGACTAGAGCTTGCCCAGGAGGACTTTCCAGGAATAGGGATTGGCCAGGAGGTGAATTTACCCAGTGGATCTCTCCCTTTAGTAGGTGTTGGCTTTATTTGAGGTGTTACTGTGCTTGAAAGGAAGCTGGGTTTTCCTGGTATGACCCACACATGCACACGCACCCTGGGGACAGACTTTAGCAGGGCTTTTAGCGATAGGACAAGGGGAAATGGTTTTAAACTACAAGAGGGGAGATCCAGACTGGATATATGGAAGAAATTGTTTACAGTGAAGGTGGTGAAACCCTGGCCTGGGTTGCCCAGAGAGGTGGTAGAAGCCCCATCCCTGGGAACATTCAAGGTCAGGTTGGACGGGGCTCTGAGCAACCTGATCTGGTTGAAGATGTCCAGGGCAGTGGTGGAGTCCCCATCCCTGGAGGGATTGAAGAGTCGTGTAGACACAGTGCTGAGGGACATGGGTTAGTCATAGGGGACTTGTCAGTGTTGGGTTCATGGTTGGACTCGATGAGCTTAAAGGGCTTTTCCAATCTGGGCCATTCTGGGATCTTAAGCTTACACTTTGGGAAGGATCCCTGGCTGGAGCTCAGTGCTGTGGCCTGGCTGGAGGTCAGATCCTGGGAGGTGTTGGCACAGCACCTTCTGCCTCTGCTGCTGGGACACATTCCCTGCTCACCAACACACGGATCTTGAGTTTGGCTGGTGCACGGTGGAGGTTCAGGTGCTGGCCCAGAGCAGGTGTTTGTGCAACTTGCCCACCTCAGTCCCTGGTGTTCTACTGAGGGGCCTTTTCACTGGTGCAAATCCAATTTTGCAGTTCCCTCAATAACTCAGTGGTAGGATCGAGGTGTTTGGCATGAGGAGATACATAGAAATACATGTTTTTCGAGGCCACGGTTTATAAAAGCCACTCTGCTGCACAGCCAGAAACTCAGAGCCTGGAGGAGGGACAGCAGCCGAGTACTTCTGCTCCCAAAACTGCTCCCACCAATTTCTTTAAGCTAAAAAACATGTAGACATGGCACTTCAGGACATGGGTTAGTGGGCATGATAGTGTAGGGTTGACAGTTGGACTTGATGATCTCAGAGGTCTTTTCCAACCTGAATGATCCTGTGATTTACAGCAGGAGGCCCCGGGCAGTGGTGCCTGCGGGCAGCTGGAGCTGCGTGGCCTTTCATTCAGCACGGTGACAGGTCACACGGCTCTGGGATCAGGGATGTCCCAGGTGGATGTTGGTTTTCCCAAGGGAACATTTCCTCAGCTCACTTGATGGTACTCCATCTCCAGATGTTCTCCCAGCTGCTGTCAGCCTTGGTAGAGGATATAAGCTTGTTAATGCAGGCACTGTAAAAACAGCAAATTAATAATTTATTATTATTATTATTCTTGGTCAAAGGGGATCTTATTCCCAGGCACCAGCAAGTGTTCAGCACCAACCAGTTCTTCAGTGGGGTGAGGATTCCAGACCCAGAGAGCATGGTGAGAGCTCCCTCCGGACGCGCTTCCCCTCAGCCTAACGCTCACCGCCCGTCTGTCTGCAGCGCCAAGGAGACGGGGGGTTTGGACAGAGAATGATCCTGCTGCTTTTTACCCCGAGTACCCGTGCTGTCTGCTTTGGAAGTAGAGCAGGAGAAGCCTCACTTGCTCAGCTTGGCCACTGCTTTGCTGCACAGCATTTTTCCCCGTCCAAACACTTTCCTCTCTATGCCAGTGTTCGCTGGAATATTATCTGGAGGCGGCTGAACCCCCCTCGTGGTGTTTTAACCAACACGCTGTGTCAAAGCAGTGAGATTGAGGGGACCGAGGGCACC